GGAAATATTTCCTAGAATCTTACTTTGCCTCTTTCCCAGTGGCCACATTGGGACACAGACTCCTGACTCTCTTCAATTTTTCTGATCCCTCCCACTGCAGAAAGAGGTGGGGCCAATGCTGTCCTGCAACCTTCTTTCCATGCTCTAAAGTCCTTCCTCAGAGATGGAGCGAAGGGAGAACACTACCGTGCCTGTCCAGCCCAGCTTTCGCCTTCACTGGGGTATCTGAGGTCTCCATCAAAGAAACTTTCTCATTGGAAGAGCAATGGTGCTTTTTAGTGACCCCTGCTTGGGAACTGGAGCAGCTATTTGGCAACCTGATTACCACAGGGAACTCTGTGGTCTTCTAGGGCATGTTTATAAACAGAAAAGAGAACATCCCAAGACTTGAAAACAACCGAGTGCTGCCTGCTCATAGTGATCCCTGGGGGCACAAACGGCACCATGGAAGATGCCCATCTTAAACTGGAACCCACAGAGACACAAGCTATGGTTTCCTAGTCATCATCTGTCAAAGGCAAGATGTGCAGGAGAGAAAATGAGTTGGGAAGTAAGTGGCTAAGAAGGTGGGGTCTGAAAGCAGGATTCGGCTTCTGGACAATGGCTCAAAATATAATGGAGATGGATCCCTGGCCCCAGAAGGAGTCTACCCCAAAAGGTGCATGTGGAGGCCTTGGTGTGAAGGTGTCTTAGAAATCGACCAGAAACTAGAAAGGACAGAGAAGACATTGTATCCCCCAAGAGGAAACCATGGAGAGTAGATGGGAAAGCGGAAGGCAAAAGAACAAGAAAGGAGCTGGCAGCCTTCCCTCAACGATCTCTACGTGAATGCCCATAGCTTATGCCACAAGCAAGAGGATCCCCTCACAGCTATCACTGAGACTTGGGGGGTGGTCCTCAGAGGCACACCTTATTCCCGAAGAGCAGGATCGTGAAAAGGGGGTGGGGTAGTATACTCATATCAGGAAATCCAGGACCCAGAGCATGGTGAAGATCAGGTGAAAGGTAACAGAGGGAGACACAGAAGGGATTTTGTCATGGGAGAAGGAGCTAGACGAGGAGGAAAGTGACCCCAAGTCTAGCTAAGAGGCAAAATGTGGCAAAGATGGGTGACTTCAGTTATCTAGACATCTACTCTCTGTCTTTTTTCCCTCTCTCCCTCCCTCTCTGCAATGTTTATGTCTGTCTCTTTCTCTGTCTCTGTCTCTCTGCCTCTGTCTTTCCCTCCCAAAAGCAGATCAGCTAATAACTTCTTGACTTACCTCAGAGATACTGAATCTGAAGAAGAGGAGACTGAGGGGGACATTTCAATTCAATAAACATTTATTAAGCACCTACTATGTGTCAGATACTGAGCTAATTTCTGGAGGTATAAATAAGAAAAAGGAAGACAGTCTCTGAGCTCTAGGAGCTTATAATCGAATGGGGGGGGTGAGGGGGAGGAGACGATACACCCAAAGAAGCTGAAAGAGGCGCCCATCAAAGGGCAGCTACACCAGTGACACAGAGCAGAGCCACTTCGGGAACGTGTGGTGACCCGGAGGGCTCCGAGCTCTCAATCAAGACAGGTCTGGGGAGAAGCTTAATGCCCCGCCCTCCCGGCCCCCAGGCCTTCAGCGCCGAGTCCGTTTGCACAGCGGTTAGATCTGGGGTGATGGCTGAGTGCAGCCGGGGAGGGGGGAAGGGGGGCAGGACACCAAGTAGAGCCACGGAAGGAAGATGAAGGCAGAGCTCCCCTGAAAGAGGAAGTAACCTGTTCCGTTTGGTCCAAGAGGGACAGGGCAGGGGCGTGCTGTTAAATATTGAACAACTGGCCCTCCAGAAGAAAAAATGTGCGAGAACACGCTTGAACGTTTGATCGGCAATACTGACATCTTCTCCACCACCTTCCCAAGCCTGGACAATGAACAAAAGAATCTATGCCTTTGCTGATCTAAACACGGGCTCTCTCAGGCTCTCATGGGTGGGGCCATGATGCGGCTGCCGCGAATGGACTTCAGGAAGAAGACCCCCCCCCCCCGAGGGGCAGGCGCTGCCTCAGAAGGGGGTCGTTCCCCACCCTCAACCCCCGTGGAGGTCTTCGGCCTGAGGCTGAATAAACACTCGTTGGGAAGGCTGTGTTAGGGAGTCCCTCCAGGATACGGGATGGGCTGCTTGACCCCTGAGGGTCCATCTACCACTCCCCCTGGACAGCTGCAGCGCTCTCACTGTCCCCGTTTTACAGCTTAAGGGACCTGCCCAGCGTCGCAAGGCAGACGGCGTTGGAAGCGCCATTTGAACCCCAGTGTGGCCGATTCCCAGTCTGGAAACACAACACCATGGCCATTCCCGTCCCTAAAATTAGATCAATAAAAAGCTCCCCTCTTTTTTAATGGCGGACCCCATTTGGTTCGGGCTCTGCGGCTCCCGTGACACTCGAGGTTAGGAGTGGGATGCCTTGATGCCCCCTCTGACCCCTTCCCCTCTTAGCGGGGGCCCTCTCCACGTGCTGAGCATTGCACAGACAGACGCAGGGGAAGCCCGTAGTGAGCTCACTCCAGCCCTGCCTGGCCCCTTTTTCTGGACTCAGTTTCTTCCTCTATCAAACTGGGGCAGATGTCTCTAGTCTCTGCCCAGCTGCATGAGTCTGTCACTGGGCAGCAGTTAGGAATCGGAGCGGGAGAATGTTAAGAAGGGAGGTGTCAGCTTTGGTCTGTGCTGGGTCTGATTGTGGTAATCCACAGGGTGGGGCACAGGGTTCCAGAAACGTAACCTGACCTTGAAGAGGCTCCGAGGCCGATGAGAATGAGTAAGACCTGGGAAACCATTGCGACCATGGGATCAGGAAGGACTAAGAGGGTCTGAAGCAGCAACAAGGAGCAAGACTGGGGCTGGGGCCCTTCCATAGTGGCCTGGCAAAGTCCAGAAGAATGGGGAAGGCATCGTGCATTTATTAAGCACCTACTGTTTTTCTAAGCAGAAGTTGTGATCTCCCCATTGTGGTGTGAAAATTCTCTTTAGGGAGACAAGATTGGGTGGGATACACTGAAAACAGAAGCAGAGGCCACAACTGAATTCTTCTGTTCACCTGCGTCCCCAAACAGGGCAGCAGCTCCTTGATCAAAGGTCTCCCTTAACCTTCATGCAACTTCACTGCTGTGAATGAGGGAGCAGCAAGGGGCAGTCAGAAAGGGCCAGCAGGCAGCATCACAGCATGGAGTCCCAAGGGACTCCAGTGACTATCAGGGCCAGGGCTTCCCAACCTCATCCAGATGCCCCAGGGTTGTAAGAGGCTTCCCAAGGGGGCCTGGCAACATTGGCAAAGAGCTATAGCATCCTACTGCCATTAGCTTATCTCTTCTATTTCTTATATAGACTTGCATGGCCGGCTCTAGAGATTCCCTTTCATACTGAGCAAGGCATATGGGCAGCCTCAGGGAAACCCAGTGAGTCCTGGGGGCTGAGACAGGCTGGAAACCTTTGGCCTGGTCTAGCCCAGGACTGACCAAGACTTCCCGCCAACACCCCTAACAAAGGGAATGTCTCTGACCTCTGTCCAAGGGGCTCCAGTGAGGAGTTGTTGGGAGGATCAAGGAGAAGATATTTGTAAAGCTTAGCACGGTGCCTGGCACATAGTAGGTGCTTAAGAACGCATGTTCCCTTTCCTTCCCAGTCCCTAGACATCCTCTCCCACTTTAGGATGCCTCTCAGTGATGTCTTCAATCAGCTCTTCTGCCTAGGCTTTTGGGACGCCATCTCTCCTACCTCGCTGACTGGTCAGCTTGCTAGATCTTCATTCTGGTCATTGCCCCTAAAGGCAAACAGAGCCAAGGGCTGGGTGCTGCACCCTCTCCTCTTCCTTTGCACTGTTTCACTGGGTGACCGCATCAGCTCCCAGGGATTCACCACCATCTCTCCATTGACCAACACCTCTTCAGTCTACTTAGCCAGCTCAATCTCTCTGCTGTTGGACAGGATGTCCCACAGACATTTTATACTCAACGTGGCCAGAACAGAATGCATCATCTTCCCTCCCAAACTCTCTCCTCTTCTGAACTTCCCCATCACTGTTGAGACCATCATAACCTGTCCTGAAGGCTCACAACCTAGGAATCAGCCTGGACTCCTCAAGCTCTCTCTCACCCTCCAGATCCAAGATGGTGCCAAGGCCTGTTCACTTCACCTTTGTCACACCTCCTGAATACGCCCCCTTCTCTCCTCTGACACAGCCCCAACCCCAGTGCATGCCCTCATTCCCTATGCCTGGCCTGTTGAAGTAGCTGCTGGGGGTCTGCCTGTCTCAGGCCTCTCCCCACTCCAGTCCATCCTCCATTCAGCCACTGAACTGATTTTCCTAAAACACAGGATTGACCACGCCTGTCCCTGCTCAGTCAGCCCCTGTGACTCAAGCAGCCTTCATCCTCCCTTTCCCCGATTCTCACACCTCACTCCCTGCCCCCATGTCTTCTTGGGCCCAGTGCCCCGGCCTCCGGGCTGTCCCATGAACAGGACCCTCCATCTCTCACCTCCAGGCATGCTCTCTGGCCATCCCCCGGGCCTGGGAGGTTCTCCCTTCTCATGTCCCCTCCTGGCATGTTCTCCAGAAAGTCTTCCCCAGGCCTGCTTAATTCTAGTGTCTTCCCTCCAATGACTGCTCCCCCATTTATCCTGTCTAGAGCTTGATTGTACCACCGTCTTCCCCACTGGACTGAACGCCTCCTCCTCCTCCTCCTCTGGGGGGTCTGCCTTTCTATCTAGAGGGCTTAGCTCAGGGCCTGGCACTTAGTAGGGGCTTAATAAATATTTGTGGACCAACTGAGTGGCACCCTGTGAAGGGAATACTTGGCAATTAAGAGCCATGGAACGGATCTTGCCTAGGAACAGCCAGTTGCGTCTGTTGCCCCCGTTGACACACACGTGGCCTCCCACGTGTCTGGGATGCTACCAGGTAGAGCAAAGAGAGCCTGATTTGCCTGGTTTTCCTCGGCAGCACAGCAAAGTTTCAGTCTGGGAATTCTTACCTTAGTGCTCCACAGCTTGACTGTCCAGTCGAACGACGAGGTGACGAAGAGGTGGGAAAAGTCGATGGGGCCCACAGCCATGTGGCAGTTGATTCCGGTCACCGGTCCTTGGTGTCCTTCGAAGACCTCCCCAATGCCAGCCTTGCTGCAGGGAGACCACAGGACACAAACTCAGCAGATGTCATTAAAACTCAGATTTCCTTTGCAGGTGAGACTTGTGTCTCTCCTTCCAAGCTGACCCCTTCCCTGTAGGTCAAAACACCTGCTTCCTCCCCTCCAAGCTGGGCAAGATCTAGGAATGAGGTCTGGACACAGAGTGGCATAGGGAGGGAACAGTGGGTGCTGTTTAGTGAAGGGGCCTGGAGCATGGAAGAAGGAAGAAAGGGAAAGAGGAAGAAAGAGAGGATGGAAGGGAGGGAAGGAGGAAGAAGGGAGAGAGGAAGAAAGATTGGGAGGAAGGGAGGGAGGGAGGAAGAAAGATTGGGAGGAAGGGAGGGAAGGAGGAAAAGAAGGAGGGAGGGAGGGAGGAAGGAAAAGAGGGAGGGAGGAAGAAGGGAGGGAAGAGAGAGGAAGGAAGGAAGGCAGGAAGGAAGAAAAGAAAAACAGCAGCCTTTTCCTCTTAAAGAGAATGAGTTCATTTGGAGGCTGGCCAAGCACTAATTAAATGCCACCTATTGACAGAGCTCCAGGCACTCTGGCATCGACTCCAGCCGTCTCCTCTCCTGCCATCATATGTAATTAGAAGGAGCCTCAGAACAATGCCAAGAATAAGGCATCTCAAAACTTGGTGTGTCGATCGTCCTGAACGTGGCAGATCTGCCAGGCCTTGGAACATTTCATTCCTATGTCACTATTCAGAGGGCTGCGGGTGGGTATCCAGGTGGGCATGGAGGCCATGCCCAGACAGTGCCAGGACGTGGGAACAGCGGCTCAGCCCAGCATCACTTCCATTCTGTTTAATGAACATGAGGAATTGATCTCAGAGGAAGAATCCCCCCCTGGAGAAACGAGCTTTGCTCCTTCCAGGCCTTAAAAGATTTATAGGAAACAGGATCAGGAGCTCATTTAATTTATGGAGGGGGATTTGCACCTTCCCCACTGTAGGTGAAAAGGCACCGTGCCAGAGCCCCAACGGAGGCTCACTTAAAAAGGGCAGAACGGATCCCTCCCTAGGCAGCCCAGTATTTGCCAGGGCTGGAAAGGCTGCCCGTGGGGAGGTGGGAGCTGGGATGAGTTTAACAAGGGCTGTCTGGAGCCCCTCCCCCCTGCTGCTTTCTTCTCTCCCTCCTTTTTCCTTCTTTTCCTCACTTCCAGCCCAGATTTAGCAAACATTCTGGAAAAATAAACAAGTGTTCATTCCTTAGGAGGACCTTCTTTTTTCAAAGCCCAGGTTAGCTTGGAGACTCTGACCATTCTGTGGTCCATTCCTGGCCATTTGGTTCCGAGTGGCTCAGCTCTCATGGGCCCACAGGCACGAGGTCCCAGGGGTCTGGGTGCTGTTTCTGATGCCCGACTCTCGGCCTAATATCTCCTTTGTGGGAGCTCTGTACAGACTCAGCCCCAGACTATTAGGGCAATGGGGCAAATCCTACCTGGTGCCGCAGGCTAGGCGCTAGTGCAGAGAGCTGAGTATGGAGTCAGGAAGCCCTGTGTTCAAATCTAGCCTCAGCCGCTGACTAGCTGTGCAACCCTTCACCTCAGCCTGCCTCAGTTTCCCCATATGTAAACCGGGGATGATAATGACACCCCTCTCCCAAGGTTGCCATGAAGATCAAAGGAGATCGGATTTGTAAAGTGCTTAGCTTAGCATAGGCCAGCACTTAATAAATGCTTGTCTCCTTCCCTTCCCTTTCCCATTGAAGGTTTGGGTTAGAAAATTTATCACCAGACGATCCTCCTTGGAAGTTCTGAGGGAGACAGAGCACGGAACAGTGAGTGCAGCGGCCTGCATCCTCACTACCTGCCCCGGAGGCCGGATTCCCGGAGTCCTCCTCCCGTGACCTGGTGACTCACCGCGGGGTGCCTGTGACTGCTCTCTGCCCAGCCCCTCCCAGCAGCGCTGGCACCCAGGGGGCCGAGAGGAGGCCCACAGAGACGAGGGGAGAAGGACCCGGAACCCGAGCCCCTCGAGGGGCTGTGAGCCATGCGAGGTGCTGGCCTCCAGGGCTTCCACTCCATCTCCATTCTCACTTAATCACCAACCAGAGGTGGGGAGGATGCCTGTGTGTGGGAAGCCCCAGCCCCAAGGCCAGTGTGGCAGCTTAGCTGGCCTCACTCCCGGTGGCCAAGTTCTCGTTCACTGAGGCCTCTGCAGCTTCCCCACCCCTGCACGCAGCTGCACGCAGCAGGGGTCCGCTGTGCTGGGCTCCTCCACCCTTCCTCACCCACATTTCCCAGACATCTTCCCAGACGCCTTAGGTTTCCACAGGCCTGGAACTTACTGGTGAAAACCAGCCCAGGCACATGATGTCACATTGGCATTTGCATGCCAGTCCAAGGAGGATCTTGAGAGCCAAGTGGCTCCCTAGCCCCACCTAATTTGGCTCCGTTCTCCTTTTCCGAAATGCCTCAGAAAGACCTTCTAGAGACCGGGTGCCCGCAGCCGGCTCTGCCTCAGAACACTCAATTATTGCAATGACCGACAAAGAGAAAGTCACCTTCCGTGGCGGCAGGCTGTGTAGATCGTCCCCTCCTCGCTGCCCACCACGAAGTTGTTGACGTCTCCTGTGGGGAAAGCCATCCCAGTGACAGCCACAGGCTTCGATTTGTTGTGCACCAGCTCCATGCTCTCCTGTCGAAACAGACCGTCGTCACACCTCCTCCGTCTCGCTCCTCACCCTTCACTGCCCTGAGTTCAAGGGAGCCACAGACTCCCCCCAGACCTGCCCTCTTCTCCTGGTAAGGGAATCTTACTTGTCACAGACCCAGTGCCCTCCTTTTACAAAGGGGGAAACTGAGGCCGAGAGAAGGGAAGCCACTGGCTATCAGCTACAGCAACATGTGGAAAGTGTGCTCACCAAGGCTGCCCCAAGGGGTGCTGTCCCCCTGCATGCGATGATCTGCAGCTCAAGCCTGTGTGTGGTGTGTGTGGTGTGTGTGTGTGTTATGTTGTGTGTGTACGTGTGTGGTGTGTATTATGTTGTGTGTATATGTATGTGGTGTGTGTTATGTTGTGTGTATGTGTGTGGTGTGTGTGTGTGGGAGTGGTGTGTGTGTGTTATGTTGTATGTGTACGTGTGTGGTGTATGTGGTATGTGTGTGTGTGTGCGGTGTGTATGTGTGTGCGTGTGCGGTGTGGGGGTGTGTGTGTGGTGTGTGGTGTGTGGTGGTTGTGTGGTGTGTGGTGGGTGTGTTATGTGTATATGTGTGGTATGTGGGGGTGTGTGTGGTGTATGTGTGTGCATGTGCGGTGTGTATGTGTGTGTGTGTGGTGTGTGGTGGGTGTGTGTGTGAGCTCTCAGGTGTTGGGAGGGGTTGGGGACTCAGCAGTCACAGCTCCCCCACAGTGATCTCCATCTTGAGGCTGGACGGCCCTGAGAAGGAAGGGCCCCCTTGCTTCACCTTCTCTCCAAGGGGCACAATCTATGGCGTCACTCTATTAATGACCGTTCACATCGTGTTACCGTACATCGTTACTGCGGACACATTAGTGACCATCAGTAAATCACTGCGGGGGAGGGAAAGGCAGGTGATTTGGGGTCTCCAGGAGGAGAAGCCTGGGAGAGGGCTGGGCTGCAGCCTGGCTCACCTGTCCTCCCTTCCTCCTGCCCACCCCTTCTAGGGAGCTTCCTGTCATGCTGGCTGGCCTGTCTGTCTTCCCATCCCAGGGTCACCCCGCCTCAGGGCCGGGCACTCACCTGCGGTGTGGAGAGCATGTCCAGGCTCCAGGAGCACAGCTTGCCATCGGTGGAAACGGTGATGAGGTTGTGAGCATTCTGGGTGCCCACCACATTGACACAGTAGACGGGGTGCTGTGGGCATAGAGACAGCAGGTGGCAGGCAGGGCACACCACAAATGCCTGGGGAGGATGCCCCCCATCTGGCTCCACCAGGGGCGTGGGATGGCAGATGGTTCCGATGCCCAGCCCCTCCCTAGTGAGGGTTCAAGTCTGACTCCTTGGAACCTGGCTGCCAGCAGGGCAGGCCATCACCAGGATAGGTGATTTGGGCTCTGCACCAGGGCACAGAAATCTATCAGGGTGCTGTCCTCACTAAGGTCCTTTGGCAGAATCAGGAAAGATCCCAACAAGAGCTGAGCTGAGTACCTCGTCAGAGTGATGAGTTAAGTGGGGAGCTACTGTCCAGCACTACCTCCAGAGCCCCAGCATCAGGGAGGGGACGAGCATGACTTGAACTCTGGAGAAATGGCTGTCCCACCTCTGCTTGGAGGCCGCCCAGGAGGGGGGAAGGCTTTCCAGGGGCCAGATTCTGGGGCTCCTGAGCTCCTGGTGATCTCTTCCTGGTCCTAAATGGTGGACGTTTGTGATTCCCAGAAACATGTGGGACTCCTGGAGGTGGACTCCTAAACAGGCCCATGCAGGATGGGTGAGCATCACAGGAACAACCTCTCAGACTAGCAGCCTGGAGATGAACCAGCCGCCTCTCACCCAAACTGCGCCAGACAGAAGGACGCCTGCTAAAACACCCTGGAGAAGTGGTCTGGTCTGAGGGAGCCTGGAATGGGGAGAGGGGGTCGGCCTGAGCATCAAAGCTGGGCATTGACTGCGGGTGCAGCTCCCTGTCCTCCGCTTCTTCTTCTGTATAATGGGGGCACTGGGCTGCATGGCCTCCGAGGTCCCTCCCACCTCTGGCTCTAGGACAGGGTCACTCATCCTCTCCTTGATGACCTGCTTTCACAGGGAGCTTTCTACCTCCTGAGGCAGCCCCTAGCTCGTCTTAACAGCTCTCATTGTAAGGAAGTGTTTCCTGATGAGCCTAAGCTGACCCAGGGGAGACCCTCTTCCACAGGGCAGGCCTCCAGATACCTGAGGACTGCTGGGGGAGTCCCCTGAGTCTCCTCCCTGGGCCACTGGCCAAGAAGGCCTGTTTCTTCCCCATTCCCCACAAGGGGTCATGCAGATTTGTCTGGACAGCTATGTAGTCTTCCTGTCTCAGGCCCGTGTATCCAGGAAAGCCAGGGCACAATGGAATGAAATGGGGGGACCAATTTCCAATTGCCTGAACCTCTCTTCCCTGCCTGGGATCGAAGGCCCCGTCAGGTATCATTACTTTTGACTTGGGATTTGTCATTCCTCATTGCCCATCACCTTGATGTAGGCCAACTTCCCTGTTCCCCGATTTGAGGCAATGAGGCCCTCTGGAAGCAGCTGCGCTCCCAGGACAGCCCAGGAAGAGTCAGGCCTACAGATGAAACACATCGGGCAGCCCCGGGCAGGAAACTGGAAACAATGGTATGATTGTATTCTAGGGCATAATTTGGGCATTATGGAGAGACAGCATCATTTATCCTGCATGTCAAGAGAGCAGGGATGGAGAGAGACATGCCCCCCCTAATTGCGACACACACCTGTCATTCTCCTCCGTAAATGTTTGAGCTCTTGTCCGATTAGCAACAGCCTGAGACTCTTCAACTAAATTACGGGAAATGGTTTGGAGATGTTGACTTCTAACCCCCGGGATTATGTTGTCACTGCAGACCGTGGGTCGAGCCTTCACCTCACATTCCAGCAGGAGAGAGCCCAGGCTTCCCCGGCAGCTGCCCAATTGTGCCAGGGCAGGCAGGTGCCCCCTCTGGTCCCACAGGGAGGTGTTTGGTGGTCTCCTTCCCAAGGGTCTCCAGGAGGACACAACTCATCCCACACCCACCGATTCTAGGTTCCTCTAGCCCCCTGGCTCATACTTCTCCTCTGCCCCTTCACTGATCTCCATGGGGTCATATTGATCTACCTTCAGTCTGCCCTGGCCTGTGGACATGGGCACTATTTCTGCCCATCAGGTCCCTCTGATTTGCTGCTTTCTAGACCGTGCCTGGCCAAGCATGCCTCACCCACCGTGTGCGCAGCTGCAGACAAGGGCGTCCGCTGCACTGGCGTCCCCCGGTGACTGCGGTTATCCCAGAGGACGATCTGGCCTGAGTAGGTGCCGCCCACCACCAGGTTGGGATGGAAGCGCGCCAGACAGACAGACATCACTGAGGACTGTGGAGAACAGAGCAGAGAGGATGGGGTACATGCAAGAAAGATCATACTGCTAATTAATACTAATGGTAATCATGATTATTACTATACCTGCCAGCAATATAGGGTGTCCTAAGGTTTGCAAAATGCCCTCGAAAGATGAGCTCAGGCGGAGCCAAGATGGTGGTGTGAAAGCAGTGACTTGCTTGAGCTCTCCCCCAAACCCTTCCAAATACCCACAAAAAATGGCTGTAAACAAATTCTAAAGCAGCAGAACCCACAAAAAGATAAAGTAAAACAAATTTCTAGCCCAAGAAAGCCTGGATGGTTGATCGGAAAGGCATATCGCCCCGGGGAGAGGAGCGCAGTTCAGCGGCATGGTTGCGCAGGCCACAGCAAACCTGAAGCAGGCCTCAGAGGACTGAATCACAGGCAGCTGTGGCGGTTTCCAGACTCCTCAATCCACGAACGCCAAAGACAACTTAGAAGGTCAGTGGGAAAAATCTGTTTTTGCGGTGAGAGAAGAGCTAGGTCAGAGCCAGTTTCAGAGCACAGAGCGCAGAGCACAGTGTGGGGGCAGTGGCTGTGTCCTGAGCTTCCAGACCACAGACTGAGGGGCAATCGAGTGGTTGATCAGAGGGGGACTGCAAGGATCTCTTTGCTTGTGCTGAGCCAGGAATCTCTTGTTTTGCCCGTGCTTGGATCTGGGTCACAGTTCTGGGTGGTGGTCCTGGGGTGAGGAGGAGCACTGGCGTGGTGGAGCTTGTAGTGGCGGTGCAGAGGAAACCCTCCTCACAGTTCCAAGAGAGAAAAGACTGCTCATAGCCGGTCACTCAAAGACCAGAGCACAGGCCAGGAAAAGAGCAAACACCTCGCCACCTTGGAAGAACTGAAAATTTATAGGTCCCTAGACATTATCTCTGAAAACAGCTATACAAACACCTGAAGCTTGGGACAGTACATTCCCCACATTGGAAGCAGACTTTTACCTTAACAAAGAGTTTAAAATTCAAGTAGTTGGCTGGGATCACGAGCAAACCTCACAAAAAGAGTCAGACTATATTATCTTACTTTGGTGACAACGAAGATCAAACCATACAACCAGAAGAAGACAACAAAGTCAAAGCTCCCACATCCAAAGCCTCCAAGAAAAATATGACTCTGACCCAGGCCTTGGAAGAGCTCAAAAGGGATTTTGAGAAGGAAGTAAGAGAAGTAGAGAAAAAACTGGGAAGAGAAATGAGAGTGATGCAAGAAAATCATGAAAAACAAGTCAACAGCTTGCTAAAGGAGACCCCAAAAATATACTGAAGAAAATAACACCTTAAAAAATAGCCTAACCCAAACGGCAAAAGAGGTCCAAAAAGCCAATGAGGAGAAGAATGCCCTAAAAAAGCAAAATTGGCCAAATGGAAAAGGAAGTCCAAAAGATTACTGAAGAAAGTACTTCCTTAAAAATTAGAATACAGCAATTGGAAGCTAGTGACTTTATGAGAAATCATGACACAGTAGAACTAATCCAAAAGAATGAAAAATTAGAAAACAATGTGAAATATCTCATAGGAAAAACAAATCATGACACAGTAGAACAAATCCAAAAGAATGAAAAATTAGAAAACAACATGAAATATCTCATTGGAAAAACAACTGACATGGAAAATAGATCCAGGAGAGAGAATTTAAAAATCATTGGACTATCTGAAAGCCATGATCAAAAAAAGAGCCTAGACATCATCTTTCAAGAAATTATCACGGAAAACTGCCCTGATATTTTAGAACCAGAGGGCAAAACAGAAATTGAAAGAATCCACTGATCTCCCCCTGAAAGATATCCCCAAAGGAAAACTCCTAGGAATATTGTAGCCAAATTCCAGAGTTCCCAGGTCAAGGAGAAAATATTGCAAGCAACCAGAAAGAAACAATTCAAGTACTGTGGAAACACAATCAGGATAACACAAGATTTAGCAGCTTCTACATTAAGGGACCGCAGGGCATGGAATATAATATTCCAGAGGGCAAAGAAGAAAGGATTACAACCAAGAATCACCTACCCAGCAAAACTGAGTATAATCCTTCACAGGAAAAAATGGTCATTCAGTGAAATAGAGGACTTTCAAGCATTCTTGATGAAAAGACCAGAGCTGAATAGAAAATTTGACTTTCAAATACAAGACTCAAGTGGAACATGAAGAGGTAAACAGGAAAGAAAATCATAAGAGACTTATTAAGATGAACTGTTTACATTCCTGCATGGAAAGATGATATTTATAACTCATGAGACCTTTGTCAGTATTAGGGTAGTTGGAGGGAAAAAAATTATATGGATGGATGGATGGATGGATAGATAGATAGATAGATAGATAGATAGAGGGCACAGGGTGAATTGAAGATGAAGGGGTGATATCTGGAGAATAAAATTAAGGGGTGATAGAGGATTATATTAGGAGAAGGAGAGGTGGAATGGGGTACATTATCTTGCACAAAACAGACAAGAAAAGGCTCTTACAGTGGAGGGAAAACAGGGGAAGGTAAGAGGAAATGAGGGAATCTTATTCTCATAGGATTTGGCTTAAGGAGGGAATAACATACACACTCAATTGGGTATGGAAATCTGTCTTGCCCTACAGGAAAATAGGGGAAGAAGGGGACAAGAGAGCAGGGGATGATAGAGAGAAGGGCAGATTGGGAAAGGGGTAATCAGAAGGAAGTACATCTGAGGAGGGACAGGGTCAAAAGAAAGAATAGAATAAATGGGGGGGGCAGGATAGGATTAAAGGAAATAGAGTTAGTTTTTCACAACATGTCTACTATGGAAGTGTTTTGCATAACTGCACATGTATGGCCTGTATTGACTTGCTTGTCTTTTCAATGAGGGTGGGTGGGGTGGGAGGAAAGGAGAAAATTTGGAACCCAAAGTTTTAAAAACACATGTTTAAAAAAAATGTTTCCACATGCAACTAGGAAATAAGAAATATGGGAAATGAGGTACAGAAATCTATCCTGCCCTACAGGAAAATAGAAGGGGAAGGGGATAAGAGAAGGAGGGGGAGAGATAGAAGGGAGGGCAGACTAGGGAAAGGGGTATTCAGAATGCGTGCCATCTTGGGATGGGGAGAGGGGCAAGATGGGGTGAAAATATGGGATTCAAAATCTTGTGGAAGTAAATGTTGAAAACTAAAAATAAATAAATTTATATTAAAAAAAAGAAATGAAGATGATGAATATGGAGACGATTAGAAGATTTATGTGAACTTCCTCAACCTCTTTCTTATTTATTTTTTGGTTAGATTTATCTAGTTCTGAGAGGGGAAGATTAAAAGTCCCCCACTATTATAGTACTACTATCTATCTCCACCTGTAAATCATTTAACTTTTCTTTTCAAAGTTTAGATGCTATAGCTTTGGTGAGTATAGGTTCAACATTGGTGTTGCTTCATTGTCTATCAAAATGTAGTTGCTCTGTTTATTTATTAATTAAATTTTATAATTAAAAAAAAAAGAAAGATGAGCTCATTTGGTCCTCAGAACAAGCCTGGGAGCTCTGCAGGCCCCTCCCTCCTTGCTTTGCTAAATATTTGCAAGAAGCTTTGCAAATCGTGAAGCCCTGTATGCTTGAGGTATCATGATTATTATTGGCTCCATTTTACAGATGAGGAAACTAAAGGGGAGACACCCAGGGTCACCCAGCTAGACTAGATTCCTAGCTCAGGTCTTCCTTGCCAGTGACTGAAGAGATGCTTGGGGCATTGTGCCCAGGGCAGCTGGGAGCCTGAGCCTGATCTTTTTATTTTATTTTTTTAAATTAATTTATTTTGATTTATTAACAATCACTTCCATATGCTTTGGAGTTTAAAATTTTTCTCCCCCTCTCTTTCCACCTCCCTCCCCAAGACAGCACACAATCTGATATAGGCTATACATATGCATTCCTATTAAACATTTTCACATTAGTCATGTTGTAAGGAAGAATTAGAACCAATAGGAGGAACCACAAGAAAGAGGAAACAAAACAAAACAAGAAAAAAAGGAGCAAATAGTATGCTTCGACCTGCATTCAAACTCCATAGTTTCTGTGGATGTGGATGGCATTTTCCATCATGAGTCTTTTGGAGTTATATTAGATCCTTGTATTGCTGAGAAGGGCTAAGTCTATCGACATTGTCATCGCACTAGTTGGCTGTTACTTTGTACAACATTCTCCTGGTTCTGCTCACTTCACTCAGCATCAGACCATACAAGTTTTTCCAGGTTTTTCTGAAGTCTGCCTGCTCATCATTTCTTATAGCACAATAGCATTCCATTCCATTCACATACCACAACTTGTTCAACCATTTCCCAACAGATGGGCATCCTCTCAATTTCCAATTCTTGGCCACCACAAAAGGAGCTGCTATAAATATTTTTGTACATGTGGGTCCTTTTCCCATTTGTATGATCTCTTTGGGATATAGCCCTAGAAATGGTATTGCTCGGTCAAAGGGTATGCACATTTTTATAGCCCTTTGGGCATAGTTCCAAACTACTCTCTAAAATGGTTGGATCCAAGGGGCAGCTAGGTGGCACAGTGGATAGAGCACTGGCCCTGGAGTCAGGAGGACGTAAGTTCAAATCCGGCCTCAGACCAAAAACTTGACATTTACTAGCTGTGTGACTCTGGGCAAGTAAGTCATTTAACCCCAGTTGCCTGAAAAACAAACAAATAAAATGGTTGGATCCCTGAGCCTGATCTTTCTGAAGAAATGGGGCTTCTCACAAAACCAGAGACTTCCAATCAAAGTCAGCGGGGACCGCCACCGCCCTCTCCTCTTTAGCCTTTACTGAGCACCTACTATGTGCACAAAACTGACTGGGTTGGGAGCTGCGGCTGTAGAAACAAGGACTCATTGTCCCAGGAAACTAGACACGGAGTCCAAAGACCTCATTTAGGTGCCTGTTACCACCACAGCCGACCTCTCAAGCTGAGGGAGCCAAGCTTCCTGTTCTTTGTGGGTGTGCAGAAGGCAATCAGCTTCAGCCCCTAC